ACTAAAAACTCAGAATCCCAAACGGGGAGAAATATGACAGTTATCATCCAGAATAGCTGGAAGGAAATGGTATGAAGTTTAAAGCATTTATCCTTAAATGTTTTTCATGCTTTACTTTTACTTTTATATTTTAAGTAGTTTTAAAAATTGTATTTTTATATTACTTGAGTAAAAACTTAAGTTAATAATCTAACCTCTAAGTGTTTATAAAGAGTAGGATTTATACTTTTGGATATTCTCCTTGTTAATGTCTGTGTTCTCATCTCACCTTTACCATGTAGTGATAATCTTATTGTTTTTCTCTTGTACCGCACCTCAAGCAGTGTGACATCCTCCCTGTATACTGATTGATCTGGATTACATATTTCAATATGTTCCTCTACTAATAGCAACATTTTCAGGGTGATAAGATAGAAAACAGCCCCTCACCCAACCATCCAGTTAACATGTTGGCGGGTTTGTTTTGTATGAACATCATGAGACTGAGCACACAGCCATGAGGGACCCCAGTCCTTAACACGGTGGAGTTGGAGATGTTTTTCACTCACTGAAAAAAATAATGCATCCATTTTTGACCTTTCCTTAATCCTATTTAGTTACTTTAACACATTTGTTTCCTGTTAGCAGGGTAGGACAAAAATCAAATGTGTTAAAGTAACTAAATATGATTAAGTAAATGCCATTGTATTATTTTTTTCACACTAACACACTAACTGTGGTTATTTACACTCAGGAGAAGCGATGCCAGCAGGTTTTTTCTGCCCGCCTGTGGGGGGCAGTGGCATTAGACAATGAGTTGAAATCTAATTTACAGGATTATTGCAAAGGTGTCTTGATAGATCACCTGCATTTATATCTAATCTTCTGCAAACTGGTGCTTACGAATTACTGCCTATTGTACTTTCCAATGCTCCAGTAGCTTTGGAACGATAAATGTGCTGCAACTGTATAGAAGAAATGCAAATTCAGGCGCAATCTCACAGCCGTGCTTTACAGCAGAGAAAGAAAAGACAGATATGATCAGCTACTACATTATAAAAGGAAAGTGTTAGAATATAGATATTTCTAATGAATAAATTCCCATAAATTCTCATGTGTTCAAAAGCAAAAAGGTTTTCCAGTTTTCTGATATATATATATTTTATATTTCTTAACAAAGATCTGTGAGTTTCACAACAGGGAAAGATGGCACATTTCTTCTGTTTGTTAATTGGACTCC